ATCCTTCAACCCCCGATAAGAAAGGGCTGAAAATCCTCCTGAAATTGACCCCTCAGCCCATCCCAGACAGACCTGTTGCACAGACACATTCACTGCCCAACAAGGCAGCCCCTGCTGGGTCCAAGACACTTAATGAAATGTGGGGCACAGCCCCAAAGCTCCGATGACACAAATAACCATGAAGTCTCACACACACACACACACACACACACACACACACACGGTCAGGAGCAGAACCAACATCTGCTGCCAGCCACTGGAGTTTTCACTCAGGACACCATAACTGCTCCCCTGAAAAGGCAGGATTAAGGCGGGAACTCCAGACCACGCTGACTTCACCCCATACGCTCTGCATCTGCACATCCCCTCTGCGAATAAATAAAAAGTTCCTTATTTAAAAAGAGAGAGACGGTGCTTATGTTACCCTGAGCCACTTAGAAAACGCTCCATCTCTGACCTATCAGATGGCCAGCCTGTCCCAGAGAGAGCAGCTGTGAGAGAAGGAGCAGACGGCATTCAGAGATGCTGCTAGCCACAAAGGGCGCATGGGCTTGGCCTGCTGGAGATGAGGGGGAAGGGAGGCTTTTCCTTTCTGCTGAGGTGCCATGGAGGCAGGAGGCGAGCTGTTCGCCCTGCCCTAAATCTGCCGCTGTCCTCAGGGGAAGGATCAGAAGCACCTACAAACCAGATCACAGCACCCCAGGCGGGAAATGACATCAGTGTCAACGTCGGCCATAGCACACAGTATGAGCTATTTGAACTTAGGGCGGAAGGTCTGATTTGCTAGTAGGGAAGGAGAGGGATAAGCAAGAGGATCCATTTCAGGTGGTGACTCTCAGCTCCTTGGTTCAGCTGGGAAAGTCCAAACCTGCTTCACCTGAAGACAAACGCACACAGGGCAGGACTGGGAAAAGAAAAGCCCCCAGGAGGAAAATGCAGCTTCTGTCTGATGGCTGCAGTCAGTTGCTGGAAGACCACGGGCACCGTACATGATATGTGAGCCAATTAATGCCGCCCATGCGCTGACCCCACTGCAAAAATGTGTGGGGTCAATGCACGGGAGTGGTTAACTATCATCAATATTTTCCTCTGGCCAGGCTGTGCTGGGGAAATTTCTGCTGTGACCTGGCTGCTTGGTATGGCTGGTAGCTCCCTGAACAGGCTACAGCAGATTCTTGCTAGATTTGTCCTAGTGACTCAGCCAGGTCTTTATAGGACAGATGCTGAAAGGGAGAGACAGAGAAGAATCAGGAGGAACAAGGTGGAGTTGCAGGTGTCAGGCCAGGGAGGGAGGAATGGAAAACTCATAGGTTTACAGCTCAGGAGTTGGTGTAGGCATTTGGCTTCTCCCCCACAGCTAGTGTGCTGGGGGCACCTTTCAGAGAAGGAAGGCAGTGCAGGCCCTGAGTCTCAGCCTGAGGGCAACATTTGATGTGTGGAGGCTGATGCTGCAGGCCCATATGCAGGAATTTCTGTGAGGGGTGCAAGCTGTGGGAGGGGCTGGTGGCTGCCACAGCCCAGTCCCAGGCTCCATGGCCCAGCCCTGCCCCCGGCCTCATTCCTGGGTGAGAAATGGGGGAATCAGCTTCAGCCTTCCCCAGCCAGCCAGAGCATGGGGGAGGGAGTCTGGGGCAGCCCGCCTTGCTGCTTCCCCCCGGCTGGCCAGAGAACAGGGGAGGGAGGCTGGGGCAATGTGCTACCTCTGCCTTCCCTAGATTGGCCGGAAGCGGACCCATGGTGGACCATGAAGGACCATGTGTAGGTAGGGGGTGTATTCACACCCTTTGCACTCCTGTCCCATACTGGCCTGTGCTGCCTGGAGCCCTCCCCCATCCCATCCCCTATGCCCTGGCATATACATTACCAAGTGCTCCCAGGGACATTATTTCAAATTTTGGTTTGCAGGGAGAGGAGACTGGAACCATGGTTCCAGGAGCTACTCAGGCACTTGAAAACTCTGGTAGACAGCTAAGCAGTTATCTGACAGGAGCCCTGTATCTATTTCCTATATATAAAAAAAGTCAAATACATATTAGCCCCACTGCGCTCTAATAACAGCATGTTCTGACATCTCATGGCAAGTCACTTAAGGAACACTGCTACGTTTAGAATTTTCATATATAGGCCACGTTTCCACTTGCAGGAAGCTCGACGTTGTGGCGGTTGATCTTCTGCCATTCAATTTAGCAGGTCTAGAAAAGACCCACTAAATCAAATACTGAGGGTGCCCCCATTAGTGCCAGTACTCCTACTCCTCGGGAAGAGTAAGATGATGGGAGTCTTTCTTCTGTTGACCTCCAACTGTGAGAATGGCGCCAAAGCTCGGCTTAAAGTACATCAGCTCCAGCTACGTTTTGTACGTAGCTGGAATTGCATACCTGAAGCTGACCTTCCCCTGAATCATGGACCTGGCCATATTCTTATTTTGTTACTAACTCTGCACAATAAGGCTATGTCTAGACTGCAGAGTTCTATCAGAAAAAGATATGCAAATTGCGGGGTTTAGTGGGTTACAGCAGGTGCAGGTACATCTGGCTTAACTTCAATGTAAGAACATTAGATTGGTCATACTGGGTCAGACCAAAGGTCCATCTAGCCCAGTGTCCTATCTTTTCACAGTCGCCAACATCAAGTGCTTCAGAGGAAATGAACACAACCAGCAATCATTGAGTGATTCATCCCACCACCCATTCTCAGCTTTTGGCAAACTGAGGTGAGGCACATGAAGAACATGATGTTGGATCCATGCCCACCCTGGCTAATAGCCACTGAAGGACCTATTCTCTATGAACTTACTTAGTTCTTTTTTGAACTTCCTTATAGTTTTGGCCTTCACAACATCCTCTGGCAAAGAGTTCCACAAGTTGACTTTGAAAAATACTTCCTTATGTTTGTTTTAAATCTACCACCTATTAATTTCATTGAGTGACTCCTCAATCTTGTATTATTTGAAGGAGTAAACAACACTTCCTTATTCAAGTTTTCCACACCATTCTTGATTTTATAGACCTGTGTCTTTCTCCCCCTTCATCCTCTCTTTTCCCAATTGAAAAGTCCCAGTCTTTGTAATCTTTCCTCATATGGATGTGTTCAGTACTTCTAGTAATTTCTGTTGTTATTCTCTATACCTTTTGCAAATCCAATATATCTTTTTATGAGATGGGTTGACCAAATCCGCATGCAATTTTCAATATTTGGGCATATCATGGATTTATATAGAGGCAATACGATATTTTCTGTCTTCTCTATCTCTGTCCTAACATATCCCAATATTCTGTTAGCATTTTTGATTGCCACTAGACATCGAGCAGATATTGCCAGACAACTATCCACAATAATTCCAAGATCTCTTTATTGATGAGCTCAGCTAATTTAGACCCCATTATTTTCAGGCCTATATGCGGGGGGAGGGGTGCGAAGGGTGCAAAAGCCCCCCCATGGTTCCCCAAGAAAGCATGCTCCAGCTGGCCAGAGGAAAGCAGGAGCAACCTCCTCCCTCCCCCATGCTCTGGCTGGGGCTGATTTTGCTGCTTACTTGAGGGAACATGGTGGGTGTATTCACAGCCTTGCGGTCCACATTTACAAAGAAACCACCTCCCCAGAAATTCCTGCATATGGGCCTGATTTTGTATGTATATTTGGGATTATATTTTGCCATGGGCATCAACATTGAATTTCATCTGCCATTGTGTTAACCAGTCACCCAGTATTGTGAAATCCCTTTGTAACTCTTTGCAGTCAGGCTTGCATTTAACTATCTTGAATACATTTTGTATCATCTGCAAATTTTGCCACTTCACTGTTTACCTTTTTTTCAAGCTCATGTATGCAGGAGTGGCCCGAGGCGGGCTGCGGCAGCTGGCACCCCAGGCGGAACGTGGCGTCCCGTTGAAAGCGGCGCCCTAGGCGACAGCCGAGTCGGCCTAGAGTCACGGGCTGCCTCTGCATTTGTCCCAATATGGATACCTGGGGACACCACTATTTCCTTTTCTCCATTCTCACCATTGATTCCCATCCTTTGTTTCCCATCTTTTAACGGGAGTGCCTGACAAAACTTTTGGAATCATCTAATGATCCTTAGATTACCTTACAAACAAGCCTTCATCACCCTGCCTTTGTTTATAAACAAACTCCCTGCCCCAAAGTGTGTGTTGCTCCCAGCTTAGGAATTAATCACATATCACACTCAGTCAGTGTTGCAGTTGAGAGCTCTGTCTGGGGC